GGGGGGGGGATTGGGGCTGGGCTCCGTCTGGGGCCGGGGCCTGTCGCTGGCCAGGGAAGTCCCTGGGGTTCCCGGGGCATTATCTTGGCTGCAGGGCTTCATTTGTAATGGAAGCGGTTCTGGGGCTCAAGCAATTTTTTTTTTACTTTTATAACTGACACGGCCAGGCCCGGAGGCGCCGGGGGGCTCGGAACGGCCGGGCCCGGAGGCGCCGAGGGGCTCGGAACGGCCAGGCCCGGAGGCGCCGGGGGGCTCGGAACGGCCGGGCCGGGGGCTAGGAACGGCCAGGCCCGGAGGCGCGTGTGGGGCGCGGAACGGCCGGGCCCGGAGGCGCCGGGGGGCTCGGAACGGCCGGGCCCGGAGGCGCTGGGCCTCAGCCCTGGCACAGATTAAGAGCCACGTAGCAGCCGATGTGGTCTGTGGGTGCTTCGTGCCTGGGCTTGGGGGTTACGTGACCAGGCGGTGTGGGTGTTGGCTGAGCATTGGGGGATACGGGCATGCACGCTGGAGACAGGTTTTCGTGCACGCCTGGGCGCTGGCTGGGTGCGGCGAGCGCCTGGCTGTTCGGGGGCGGAAGGTGCGTGTTTGGGGGCTGGGTGCAGGCGCTGCTGCGGAGAGCCGGGTGCGTGTGCCAGGCACGTGGCGGCGTGTGCCCGGTCCTCGTCTCTCACCCCTCCGCGCGCGCAGGTGCCTGGGAACAGCTGGGAGCGGGAGCCGCTTTTGGGGTCAGCCCGGCCCTGTCTCCGAGGAGGGCTCTGCTGAGCTGGGGAGGAGGGGCCCGGGCCCCCCCCCGCCCGCACCTGCGGCAGCGTCACCAAGTCCCAGCAGCTGTCGGTGTCTCTCAGTGGCACTGTCCCAGCTGCCACTCAGGCCCCGGCTCCCTCCCCTCCACCGAGTGCCCAACACGCAGCTCGGGGCGGAGAGACGGACCCCGCGCAGCTGGCCACCGGGGCTGTGGGACCCTCGCCACGCCGCCCGGTGTGGGGCCGGGGCCTACGAGCCATGCTGTCCTCTCCGGCCGTGGTGCTCCACCCGTACAGCCTGCCCGTCTACCCGCAGGTGCCCCAGTGCTACCCGGGCCTGGTTCAGGTACCCGCTTCCCCTCTGTGTGTATGTGTGTCTGTGCCCGGCCGTGCCTGGGACCCAGGAGTCCCCTGGGGGGGATCCGAAGGGGCGTCTGTAACACCTCGGGCCTGTCAGCGCCGCGGGGAGATAACCCCTTGCTCCCTGGATTCCTCGTCTCCGTTCGGGGGGCCTCCGTCTCCCGGGAGGTCAGATAGCGGAGACGGGCGGCCATGTATGGGAAGCACTATTTGCGGCTCTCGGGGAAGGCTGGAGAGGCCGGGGGCCCAGCGAATTCAGCTTCTCCGGGTCTGAGCGTTACCCCAGGGGCGGCAAGAGTCGCGTCTTCTGCCCTTACCCTGGGGGGTTTGACCTTAGAGCAGATGGGTGCTCGCCCACCTCTGCAGCGGGGTGTACTCCCCCCGGCCTGGTTAGACCTGCTGTAAATCACACTCTAGGGTCCCAGCCCACGCCACTCCTGCCTCCGTCACCGCAGCGCCGCTGTGCCTTGGGGCTGCACGGAGGGGACCGGATGAAGGGGCCACAGGCCAGCGCAGAGTGGATCTCCCAACACAGGAAGGGGCCAGAAACCCACAGCTGGGGGGAGGGTGGGATAACCAGCTCCCAGGGGAAACTTCCCCCAGCAGCTCCTTCACGTTGGGGTTTGCCCCCCAAAGCACCAGGAAGCAGGGGCGCTGTCCTATCTGCTTCCAGCCTGTCGCGCTCTGGCTGATCAATGGCCAGCCCGTGCTAAACGCAGCGAGATCATGCAGCAGGGAGTTCCACCGGTCAAGCCGGAGGGGCATTTTTCTCAGGTCCCATCTGAATCTGCGGCCGTGGCGTTTTGCCAACTTGCCCCCTGGATGTGGTTTTCCAAGACGGGGCAGGTAGCGGCACCCCCCTGCTCCCCCCTTCCTGTCCCCTCACTGCACCCGTCTTCCCTCTCCTGAGCCCCATTGCTGGTCACCGCCCCTCCCCAGTTTGGAGCCTGTCCCACGTGGGCGTGGGGAAGTTGTCAAGTGCGACATGAAGGGGGGACCCAGCCCCTCGGGATTGAGGGGAGCTGGGCATACTCTGTTTATGTAGCCCTGCCCCCACCCCTGGGTTAGAGACATCCCGGGGGGGGGGTGATGGGGATTTGAGGCACCCCTGTCCCAACCCCCATCTCTCCCCCTCCTCCATGGGTCCGGAAGGCAGAGGGGCAGGACCTGCGGGCCTTTGTCTCCCCCCATCTCCCCTCGCCGCCCCCCCCCACGCCTTGAGTGATTGGGGAAGGTGCTGCTATTTATATCCAGCCAGATGCCTTGATAGCGGCTTCTAAAAACAGCTGTGGGGGCGGGGGGGGGAAGGGGGGAGGATGGGAGGTCTTATCTATGGATGAGAGGCTGGGCCCCACATGGGGGGTGGGGGTGGCAGACTAAGCCTGGAGCAGCAAGTCCCTCCCCCCTTCACTTTTTATTATAAGAACCTGCCTGGTTTAGGATTGTGTGTGTGGGGGGGGGAATATTCCTGCTCAGGGCCCCCACTGGGCCAGCACCGGCTCTGATTTTATCCCCCCTGTTCCCAGCATTCGGAGCGACCCATCTACAATAACATCCCCCCCCCCATCCGAGCTAGGTGTCAGGCCCCAGCCACTTCTCGGGGACCCCCTGCTGCCCTCCCCCCGCAAGGAGGACCCCCGGGGGCTGTTGTCCACCCAAAACTGTCCCGCTGCCGCTCGCCCCGTCGGCTTGGGACGAATCGCTGCGGCCGAAAGCCGCGGCAAAGGGCGGGGAAGGCGCGACGGGCCTTTGGGAACGGCGGGAATGGGGAAACGCCCGGTGGGTTTAAGAAAAAAGTGCGGGCGCCGTATAGAGCCGGGGCGGCCACACTTCCTGCCCTCCGAGCCGCCGACGCCAACCTTCGGCCGATTCAAAATCACGCCTGATGGAGCTCGGGGCTTCTGCCCTGCGGGGAAAGGGGGCTCAGGGCTTTTCCCCATGGGAGGCACCAGCCGGGGCTGGGAGGAAGGGGAGCACGAGGATGAAACCCCCCCAGCCCCCTTTCCCCGCTGGACAGAAGCCCCTAGCCCCCCCACCCTGCCTCAGGGCAGAAACCCCAAGTCCCCCCTCAAGTCTGGTAGGTGGAGAATGGGCAGGGGCCTGGGGGGGGGCTCCATGGGTCACACTTGAACTGTGAAAGAGCCACATGTGGCCTGTGACCTGTGGATTTAGCCCCCCTGATTTTAATCCTTCAACTCCGCCGTGACACCAGCTCATTTTTTGGCTCACCAGGCGTTTCCCTGCCCCGATATTACACACTCATTCCCCCAAACCCGTGCGCCACCCAATCTGAAATCCAGGAGACGCAAAGTCTGAACGCACCGGCTGGAGAAATCCAGCCCGGGCGTTTCAGCCGTTTGCAGGCCCTGAGCGTCAGCGCCGGACAAAACGCCAAGTCAGCGAATGAGGCTGGGGACTGCGGCAGGCGCCGGGGATTGCAGCAGCTGCAGTGGGGCGAAGGAAGCGAGGGGCTGATCCCCGGGGGAGGACGAGCGGCGCTGGGGGCTGACGCCCCTTTACCCTGCTAGCCGGGGACCTCAGCGCCAGGGCTGGTCCTATCCAGCGCGAGTGGTTGTTAAAAAGGAAACAAATTCCCCAGTCCCGACCCACGTTAGTCCAGCGGGGCAGGGGCCGGGCACGGACCAGGCCGAACCCGGGGCAGGTTCAGCCCCCAAAGGGGTGGCTGTGGGGAGGCAGGTGTGGACATGGGCAGGGAGAGAGGGTCTGTGGGGGGGATTGAAGAATTCTTGTGTAAGGGTATGGAGGGGGGTGAGTGGAGGGGGTGCAGGAGGGAGGGGTGGTGGATGGAGGGGGGTGAGGTGGAGGGGGGTGCGAGGAGGGAGGGGTGGGGGGAGTGGGAGACGGGGATGGGGGTGTGG